AAGGAGTTCGCCAACCTTCGCAGCATAAGTCTCGTTGGCCTTAACCGCCACCTCCAAGGACTTCTGAGTTTTTGCAAAGTCCCTCCTCATCACCTCGAGCTCATCATGTTCCCTCTCTCTGCGCCTTCTCTAACTCGAGTTGGTTGCATTGCCATCAACGCTTCCAATGGTCGTGCAATTCGTATTTAGCCAAGGTCGAACTCAAACCTTAGTGTAATTCGTATTTAGCCAAGGTCGAATTCGAACCTTGGTGCAATTCGTATTTAGCCAAGGTCGAATTTGAACTTTGGTGCAATTCATATTTACCCAAGGTCGAATTCGAACCTTGGTGCAATTCATATTTAGCCAAGGTCAAATTCGAACCTTGGTGCAATTCGTATTTACCCAAGGTTGAATTTGAACCTTGGTGTAATTCGTATTTAGCCAAAGTCGAATTCCAACCTTGGTACACTTTGTATTTACCGAAGGTCAAATTCGAACCTTAGCGCAATTCACACTTATCCAAACAGGAGCAACATATGAGAAAACCAAAGCAAAACACACTTCATTCAAGCATAAATATTCATTACCAATGCCAAGTCTGGAAATACATAAACAACAAAAAATACATAAAGCGTTAGTCTAAACAGTTATGTCTTCACTTGAACTCTCAAGGTTGTCCTCGTTCACCAGTTGGCCACCCCGAACATTCTTGTTGACATTCATCAAGGAAAAATCTACACCCGGAGCAAGGAGTTTAGCCTGACGAGTCATTTTAGCAAAGCCCTTCTTGTGCTCAATCAGGACGGCTCGTTGAGTATCCCGGAGCTCCACCTCTAGCTTTTTCTTTGAAGAAGCAAGTACCTTGAGATCTGCCTTCAAGGCACCTATTTCTTCGGCTCTGCCAACAAGGAGAACCTCATCACACAATTGCTTCTTCTCGGCCACCTTCACCTTGGCCTTCAAAACCTCGCCCTCCTCCTCCAGTGAACGAGCTCGACCAGAAGCGGCCTCTGACTCACTCTTAGTCGCCTTGACGACCTCAAGGAGTTCGCCAACCTTCGCAGCATAAGTCTCGTTGGCCTTAACCGCCACCTCCAAGGACTTCTGAGTTTTTGCAAAGTCCCTCCTCATCACCTCGAGCTCATCATGTTCCCTCTCTCTGCGCCTTCTCTAACTCGAGTTGGTTGCATTGCCATCAACGCTTCCAATGGTCCACGATGGCAATGGACCGCTGCATGAATACTTCGGCCGAGTCCAGACCCTCAACCGGACCCACCTTCTCTATAATGGCCTTATCATCCATAAAGGCAGGATTTTCCTTATAGAACCCCTCAGCAGTCAAATGAGGGTTCAAGAGTGACGCCACGTTGGGTGACATGCTGACGTGGTCCAGCCGGGCCAGCGGTCGGGTGACATCGAGTCGCTGGTAGAGGCATCTCGACTTTGGCGCAGTAGAGGGAGTCGCAGCAGAAGGAGCCGTCGATGGTGCCCCCACATCGGTGGTCGCACCGACCACCTCGGTGCTTGGCGCATTAGGAGTCGCCTACAACGAACAAAGAAACACGAAATAAAAGGTGATGGAAAATAACTTAGAAAATAAAACACGATAACTACCCTACACGAGACCAAGTCGATACCTGTTTCTCCAGGATGACCTCGGTTATAAGCTCCCTCGGCAGAGTCACCAGACAAGGACTCACAGTCAGATCAATAGTGGTTGGCTGGTCGGCCTCGGTTATAGGCTCCCTAGGCAGAGTCACCGGACGAGGACTCACGGTCAGATCAATAGTGGTCGGCTAGCCGGCAACAGCCAAGGTCACCTCTTCCAACACAGGACCGGTCAACGATTTGATTGCCTCCTTTTGCGTCGTTTTCCTCTTGTGGCGAGGTCGAAGTGATGACCCCTCCTCCTCATCGGGATTCGACACCTCAAGCTCCTCTGTGTTAAACTTTGCCTTGAGCTCGCGCCACTTGTTTTCCCTATTAGTTCTAAAAACCAAAAAAACACAAACTTCATTACAATAACAACAAGTAAGTAGCAAATTGAGCAATCACAATCTCAAAGATACTCACTCTCCAAACCTTCTCTTTATTTGTCAAGTCTGCAAGGGCAAGGGCGAGCTTGTTATCTAGTGGACGAGGCAGCTCCTTAAGATTGTCTATGTCATCCTGGTCCGAAGCCGACAAGAGAATGCAGCCATACCCATTAAACTTAACTGGATTTCACTGCCAAAAGAAGGGAAACCTTAGTTCCCCCTCAAGATGGAAGACGCCCTCAGTCTTGGGTTGGTATTTATTGGGCGAACTCAGACAAACTCCTTCTTAAAATTTTTGTAGGATTGGGAGTATAGTTGAAACAGCCCCCCAACTTGGCTACCACTAAGGGAAACCCAACCTAAGAGAGGCTCGCCCAATTTCAACTGGTAGAAATGAAGAAAAATGAGAAGCAACGCACCCATCCCCAACGCCGAGCATAAAACCTGGAAAGCTCGGAGAAAACCCCAGCTGTTGGGATGAAGTTGGCTAGGGGCGACGTTAACGTGCTTCATAAAAGAGCACTCAAATGGTGTGTAAGGGAGACAAACACCGAGGTCCCTGAAGAGACATCAATACATATAAAAAAAATGGGGTATTCGTTGTACCCGACATATATACACACTCACCGGGTTGGCAAGGCTCAACCCGAATAAGCTTGGAAACGACCGACTTGCTTATCATCAAGGATTTCCAAAGGGCGTTCACTTTTAGAAAAGTCCTAACCCTACTCTCAAACTCTCCCATATCACCCCTAACCCACTCGTAACTGGGAACGGAGATGGGGGATGTGAGTCCCGCCAGTTGTTCCCCCCTTTCTTCTTTTGATTGCCACCCTCATCAATGACTACCCCACCGACAGGGCACCCAAAGTCTGAGAACCAGTGTATTACCAAAATCGACCTTCAGCATAAACTCTTCGCCCCAAAGAGCTCAGAGCTTGGGGGGCTAGTATACTATCCACGTCGGATACTAAAGCCCACCTCGATGCTTGCTTGCCCAGCAACCTCAGCCAAGCAAGTGGGCCACTAACCTTATTGGGCCGTAACCGGCCCAATCCTCACCCAAGCAAGGAAAAACCTAATTTACATCAAGGTATGTGCATTATATATATGAGACCCGCACATCTACAAAGACTAACTTAAGCATCAAAGTCTCTTTTGCAAGTACCACCGCCACCTCAGAACAGCCGACATATCAAGCAGAGGAGGCTCACCAATCTCATTAAAGTAGTTGCTCTTAGACCGATCTTAGGTGAGAACATATATATATATATATACACATGCACTTCACTTTAAAAGCAACACTTTTATGGAATGAAAATGATAATTCTTTCCAATATGAGTGGACTTTGATAATATAAAGATAAATCAATTAATGATAAGAATCATACTCGAATTAATAGGAAAATAAGACCTAACCAAACTACTATAAAAGGTTGAGCTAAGAAGGGAGAAGAAAGTTTTTGACTAATAATCACACTTTTATGTTGTGGATAAGACTACTCTAGTTTCTATACTAAAATAATTTTATATAATTTTATATATATAAAGGATTGAAGGGAGTATCATTTTACTTTAGATGTTATGCACTCATTCATTCAAGGAACCTTGTTTGTGGTTTATTAATAAATTTTTTAAAGTATTCGACCTCCTCGATACTACTACCTTTGTTTCTATATGTAAGAAACAAATGAGAGAGTTTTATTTTGTTTTTAATTATAAGAAAAGTAAATCAACTTTCAATTATATTAATTGGTAATTTTTTCTCATATCCTTAATTTATTATGAGTTTATTGATTAATGAGTTATCTATGCGTGTTTCTTGAAAATGAATGTATTTGTTAATTGGTAATTTTTTCTCATATCCTTGTCTTTTGAGTAATATTAATAAATATATAACTATCACTTATATTATTTGATTCAATGGATATTTTGAAATAAAATTTAAAATTATAAAATTATTAATTATAACTAATTAATTTAATTATTTTTATTACTCTTGATACATTAAATATTTGTTTTTTATATACATAAACAGAAGTAGTATTTAAAATTCTCTATTGTTATATGTTGTAGTTGTAATTATTAATTAACAATATTATTATATAAGAAACACATCAAGAATTACTTATTAATACGGCAGTTGAAGAACTATGGTTTAGTCTAACACTTTTAAAAGTTATTCAAGTATATACATGATAATTACATGAAACAAAATAACATTCTCTATACTTTACCAAAAGACATTCTCTTTATTTTACCATCCTTGAGTTTATATATAATTGTTATTCTAATATTTTTATACATTACATTTTTTTCGCTTTGACCGATGCATATCGTACACATTTTCAAGTTATTTACTTTATATATACTTTTCACGTTTGAAACAAATAGTTTCGTTGGTATCCCTGGAGCCTGTTACATTTGATTCATTGGCCAACTAATGTTAATCTGTTTGATGCAGCCCAATTCCTTAAGTATGTACTTCTTGAATGAATTAAATTTGAGTCATTTATTCCAAATTCAAATATAACAAGAAATTAGTGTCAGTCTTTTGATTGCATAGAAATATATCTTTAATTATTCGAGTCAATAATCTCAATTTTTAATATTTTATAGCCGACAGTGATTTAATTTTATGTGTATATGGGTAGTTACTGACTTACTGGTTAAAATATAAAAGAAATAAATTGCAATTTTATAAAAAGGGAAATTTAAAGCATGGATGACGGAGTTAATTACGTGTGGAGGATATAAGCATGGGATGATACACACGTGGTTGGTTGAAAGTGTCATAATCCCAACAATAGGCACAGTGAACGGGTTAATTTGAATAGGAATTGGTGTGAGAGGAAGCGCGAATAGTTAGGAGCAGAAAGAAATGGAAGGTGGAGATGTTATCGGAGGTTGTGAATGGCTGAGAAGGAAGGAGCTGAAGATATATAAGCAGGGGCGAAGAGGTGGAATATGCAGTGTTCTCACTCACAGTGTAAAACAAATTAATTAACAGAGTTAAGAAGAAGACATGGGTGCCGCAACAAAGTTTTCGTTATTGCTGGTATGCCTCTTGGCAGGGACAATGTCCCCGGTGAAGGGCGAAGACCCTTACTTCTATTTCACATGGAACGTCACGTACGGTACTCTCTCTCCTGCGGGTGTGCCCCAGCAGGTTATTCTCATCAACGGTGAATTCCCGGGACCCAACATCAACTCCACCAGCAATAATAACATCGTCGTCAATGTCTTCAACAACCTCGACGAGCCCTTCCTTTTCCATTGGTACGTAAAACTTTAAATGCATGCAAACCCTAATAATCGATTAAATTGATTTATTTGTTTTTGGTTTTAGGGCGGGTATCCAACAGAGGAAGAACTCATGGCAAGACGGTGTGGCGGGGACAAACTGCCCTATTATGCCTGGCATGAACTTCACGTATCACTACCAAGTGAAGGATCAAATCGGAAGCTACTTCTACTACCCAAGCTTGGGCATGCAACGCGCCGCCGGAGGCTTCGGTGGGCTCCGCGTGAACAGCCGTCTGCTGATCCCAGTGCCCTACGCGGATCCCGAGGACGACTACACCGTCCTGATCGGGGACTGGTACACCAAGAGCCACTCCACATTGAGCAAGTTCCTGGACAGCGGACGGGCCTTGGGCCGCCCACAGGCCGTGCTGGTGAACGGGCAGAACGCTAAAGGCGACGGCACCGACAAGCCTCTCTTCACCATGAAGGCCGGAAAGACCTACAAGTACCGCATCTGCAACGTGGGCCTGAAGAACTCACTGAACTTCCGCATCCAGAACCACCCCATGAAGCTGGTGGAACTGGAAGGGTCCCACACCGTGCAGAACACCTACGACTCCCTCGACGTCCACTTGGGGCAGTGCTTCGGAGTCCTCGTCACCGCGGACCAGGAGGCCAAAGACTACTACATGGTTGCCTCCACGCGCTTCACCAAAACCGTCATCACCGGCAAGGGCATCATCCGCTACGAAAACGGCAAGGGCCCCGCCAGCCCCGAGATCGCCGAGGCCCCCGTGGGCTGGGCCTGGTCCCTCAACCAGTTCCGCTCCTTCCGCTGGAACTTGACCGCCAGCGCCGCCAGGCCCAACCCCCAGGGCTCATACCACTACGGCCAGATCAACATCACCCGCACCGTCAAGCTCATTAACTCCGTCAGCAGGGACAACGGCAAACTCCGCTACGCTCTTAACGGCGTTTCCCACACCGAGGCTGAAACCCCCCTCAAGCTCGCTGAATACTACGGCATCGGTGACAAGGTCTTCAAGTACGACACCATCTCCGATAACCCCTCCGCCGACGTTGGCAACTCCATCACCATCCAGCCCAATGTTATCAAATTCGAATACCGCACCTTCATCGAAATCATCTTCGAGAACCACGAGAA